GAACAACACGGTGGATGCCCCTCTTCGCTTACGCATGGCATCCAACTTTTGGAGTGCGTTGTCGGCGAGGGTGGAGATGGTCCAAGCCAACCTCCAAACGGAGCTAGCCCAAGGACTACGGGACAAGGGGCTGCTGAATGCGGATGGGGCATGGGTTTTTCTCGCCTGGGATGCATCCAGCAAGTCACTCAAGCCAACCACGCAGACACCCATTCCAATGTCGGAAATGGTCCAGATCATCGCGAGCATAGTGGAGCTTGTCAAGCTGCCGGCCATGGTCAATCAGTTCAAAGCCTTGAAGGCACTCAAGAGTGCGGACTTGAAAAGTCCGACAGTCGTCATCCCATGGACGATGGCTGTCTCTCTTCGTCACGAGAGGGCACAGCAGCTTTGGCAACATCTGATGCGTTTGGTGGGGAGCAGCGTTACGCAACTCCTCATGTGCCAGATGCGCCCGGCAAACCTCAAGAGGTCGAAACTAAGCGAGCTAATCGCCAAGTGTGTATTCGGTCCGAAATAAAACAAAGCATTCTTGAACTTCAACTTTGCAATGGTTGTAACTGCTGCTACATGAACGCGGTGCTGATCATCCAACTCTGGGTGATTGCCTCTCTTCCTACAGCTCGGGCTTTGCACACTTGGTTTCGGGGTATGATACAGATGCTTGACCACTTTTCATGGCATGTTTCGGTCTATGATATTCCGATTTTTCAGAATGTGCTAACCGATTGGGAGTGTGGTCATGCGTATGGGCTTCAGCACGATGCTGCTGAATTTTATCAGTGGGGACTTCAATGCCAGCTCTTTCCTCAATGGCCGGGCTCATGGCAACAAAGATGCGACCGAGAAACAATCACCTCAGACTGCACTCCGATCTTGTTGCCTGTGCTTTCTGAGAGCGGCACTCTGCAGGATCACATTCAACATTGGCATGCGCACATGGACGGACAACATGCACTCACCGCTCAGGCCGACTTCATCTGCTTCCAGGTTGGCGACACACCTACGCTTGTGGCAGGCACATGTTCTGAGCTCGCCACCCCAGGATGCCGACTTCACATGCCCATCTACACGCAGGCCTCTGACGTAGATGCTGATGCACCTTCGATGACATGGCAACCTTACCTTGTGGTAGCTGCAGCGCTGCGGCGCGGATCAATGCGCGACGCAGGACACTACCAAGCACTGCTGTACACTCACCAGCAGGTCTATCTCTGTGATGATGCACGCTCCGCAAGGTCGATCTCGTATGCGCGAGCACTTCGTGAGGTACGGGATGCCTTTCTCGTATGGGCAGTGAGAGCCGATGTTGCTGACATGAGCTTAGTGCGACCACCAGAACCAGCAGGCACAGAAGATGTTGCAGAGATCGCAGGTCCACGTGATGATTATGAGAGTCCGAGGCCGATTGCAAGGCAGACACTCTCGCTTGGCGAACTGTTGCATGCTCACTTTCAGTGATTCTGCCGAGTAGTGTGAGTTAATTCGTTTTCAATTCGGCCGATGCTTTTCACGTTTGAATCCACTGTCTTACTGATTTTCGGGGGTCCTCTGGACAACATGTCTTTCGTTCTCGCACTCCTCTGCGCCTCACGGGTGCGATTGAACTCTCAGGGCAATCAGCTGTGGCAGTGATACATGTTTCAATCAACGAGACCTGGGAAGTCCGCACATGTGAATACATCACGTGTGTTGTGACTAGTTTTGATTCGCTGACGCAGTAACAGTCCTTGGCGCTTGGACAAGAAAAGGCCCCCAAGATGGCCGCGCTGGGGATATAACATGCTTGACGTGTAAACGCTGTTGGGGCTAGAACAAAATCTTCAAGCTCCCACCAGAAGGAGCCCAGCAGGTAGCTGACATCCACGTCCAGCGATCTGGTGTGGAACTCGCTGAGTCTGCATCTCGTAGGTCTTTTTCGGGGTTCACTGTCACAGGGATTCCCTTTTTCTCTTGCTGATCCCAGTTCTCGCAACGCACACGACGTTGCGAACTTTTCGTGCTACGTGAGTACACAAGTTCCAGGTTGCGCGAGGCTCAACAAGCATTGCGCAATCAAATCTTCTAATCTTTACATAATTTCTCTGCGTCGGCCACCTCTTCCAACACGACTTTCCTTTTCTGTATAGCACAAACAGGCTTTAGGCACCTAGGTGCAACGGCCTCAACGTTCTACAGCCCTTCCATGCTACGTGTGAACGCGTTTCTGTACAGCTTTTGAGGGCTAAAACGTAGCCAAATTTTACCAGGCGCGCGCGCGCGCGCGGGGGGGCGTTGCATAGTGCAACGCACTCCGAACGTTTGGACTTCTGTTGTGAGTTGGAGGGCTTTGCTCGTCTCAAAGACGACCAGTTTCAACAGTGAAGCTGTTGCCCACGTCAGGGAAGAACCTTTCTCGCTACGTTGCAAAGCAAAAAGCCACTGTCCCGCCACTGTCCCGCC